TATGATGCTCCCAAACTGCCTCCCCTCCCCCACACTGGACTAAACTCACTGCTTCAGTTAGGGGTTTGAGAAGAAAGCAATGTGCAGAGGAAGGGTGGGTGTTTGCGTGGCTTTGAAAAGGATGCTGCTAATCCAAACCCAGAATCTGCAAAGATTTCAAGACATATGTTCAGTTTGTGATAAGGGTGGGAGTTTCATCTATTTGGAAATAATAGGGTTTTTCCCACAACTTCATTTTCTTTTCTTTTTTTCTGTGGGGTGGGGGGAAGAGAAAGGGATTAGTAAATAATTAAAAATAGATCTTCTAATTCACTGGGTCTTTCAAAGTCAGGCAACAGTGTACACTGAAACAGAACAAATGCTAAACAAACAGGTAAATTCTAGTATATTTTTAAAATCAATCTCATCGTTACTAAATGTTTGCTTATTATCTGTCAGTTCACATTCTATGCTCTATTACTGTTATTCTAGTCAGCTCCAATGACATTATACAGAGTTTTCAAATATTTTTGATGGTACTTTTTTTAACACGAACTCTTTCAAGATACATAAAATCCCATCTTATAGACGACAGAACAACTAACACTCAGGATCCCAAAATGCTAAAATCCTACTGCTATCCTTGATGATTCCATTCATTTACACACTCTATTGAATGCCTACTATGTATCAAGTTTTGTGGTGGAAGCTATGAACAGAGCAGTCAACCCAACAGAGGATAGATGGTTCCTGTGCCTGATGAACTTACAGGCCAGTGGCGAGACAGTATTCAACAAATAATTATGCAAATAATTACCTAACTGCAACCTGTGATAAGTGCTTGGAAGGAAATGTAGTGTGCTACAAGGACACATCAAAAAGTCCATGGCAAGTTGCAATCTTACCCCTGAAAGAGGCTATTTCTTTCTTAAAACCAGGAGCACATCAAAATCCCTCTTCCACTCGTCTGACAGCATCACATTCAGAGGGAGCTGGAGGTGGAGGGTATACAAAGCAGCATTTTCTTCTCCTTACTTGAAATAAGAATTCAGGAGTGCAAAACTATCCTGAAAAATGACTTCATCCTTCTGGAAACCGATACTAGTCTCTTCTCCTTTCCTTTCAATGCTGGGAGGAGGGGAGTAGTTACAAAGATTTATGTACCAACAAGCCTGATGTGTAATGGTGGAAAATTCGGAAGAACCTAAATGTACATCACGAGGGGAGTGCCTGGTTGAACTATGATGGGAACATTCCACACTATGGAAGATCTGCCTGCCTGTCTATTAAAAAACAGTGACGTGGGCTTCCCTGGTGGCGCAGTGGTTGAGAGTCCGCCTGCCGATGCAGGGGACACGGGTTCGTGCCCCAGTCTGGGAGGATCCCACATGCCGCGAAGCGGCTGGGCCCGTGAGCCATGGCCGCTGAGGCTGCGCGTCCGGAGCCTGTGCTCCGCAACGGGAGAGGCCACAACAGTGAGAGGCCCGTGTACCGCAAAAACAACAACAAAAAAAACAGTGAGGTGACACCTCTGTACTGACACAGAAGGCTTTCCACACCTTTCCACACAGTGTGCTTTCCATACTAAGCAGGACAATGCAAACCACTACAATGTGACTCAGTTTGGTTAAAAAAAAAATGTGTATACGTTATATTAATGCAGAGAAAGGGGATTTTACGTCTGTCCAAAGTGTCCACAGTGTTCACCTCTAACACATAGTGAAGGAGGTTTATGAATCCTTTACCATGAGAAGGTATTTAGGTACTATCTGTACAATAAAGTACCAAAAAAAAATTAACAAAGAAAAACATGTATGTATCAGTAGCCTCTCTGGATAGCAGGCATCTTTCTGGAAAGGGACCAGGAGGCTCCCTTGGTGCTTTGCCTTTAAACGTGAGCTGAGGATGTGCTGTTTTGGGACCTTTGCCCTGAGACCCTAAGTATTAGCCCATTCTTATAGACACCCCTGAAAAGAAGAATCAGCTTTGCCACCTGGAAGGGCAGCCTGAACACATTTCCAAAGATGGGCCTACAGCAGCCACGACAGAGCAGATGACTTAAGCCACCTGGCTGCTGACTCAGTTGGAGGAAACAAGAGGGGAACTGGGAACTAACAGCATTGGAAGCAGCTGCAGCTCTCTCTGTCCCCTGGCTCACTGGGGCTGGCCCAGCGCCTGCCCTGTAATGACAGCAGCAGAGCAGAGCTAACCCTAAGGGACCAAGTCCCTCTGTCCAGAACTACAGCTGCCTGCTGGGAGGGCAGCAGGGAGAGAAGGCTCCCTGGGCGGACCAGACACCCTTCCCCAGGGGTCCAGTGGCTGCCCCTGCTGCTCATCTGGTCCAGCCACCCTGGCACCGGGCATGAAGCATCCTGGTGGGAGATAGGAGCTCTGCTCTCCCAGCGTCTCCTAAGACACCAGGCTAAGGCACCAGACAGTCAAAGCAGTCCCTGAGGGAGGACATCTCGGTCCCAGGTCCTGAGTAGCCCTAAGCCAAGGGTACTGCTGACCCATCAAAAGACCCCAATAATAAGAATCCCATTCAGAGTCTGGTCTGTTGAAAAGCAGCATGCTTAGGGAATTAGTTTCTTCAACAATTTAGATAAATACTCCTATAATTTCAGAGTCTGAAGGCCATGTAGCCTAATTATGCTTGTATTCTACACAGAGTTGTCACTCAGCTATTTCCTAAACTAACTCACTAACTCTCTCTCGATATAGATACAGATATAGATATACCTCCAGGTGAAAGGGGCTGCACCTCTAGAGGCATCTGGGGACAGGTGTGGTAGAAATGAAGGTCCTTCTGTGGCACACAACTCTGACCTCCTGCACCTACCATATGGCGACATTCATGTGTTCTATGGAGCCACATGGAATGACACTCATCCACCTTCCCCTGAGCCTTTCAACATTTCAAACACAGATTCTTCCTTGCCATAAAAATACTGCGAAAGGAAATTACTGCAAAAGGAAATTTGAGGTATTTGCAATACAACCTATGCTTATAAGTCAAGTGGGGCAACTGAACGGGATTCATCATGAACGGTAACCAGTCCTCCCTCCTGGCATCAGATGGCACCCTCCTCCAGGGTCCATGTCTCCCTGACTCCTGGGTCCTCAGTGCCCAGCACTGGGTCCAGCCCACAGCTGGTACTCAAGAAACATTTGCTGAAGGGAAAGATTATCTCCAGGACCCATGCTACTTGGTGGTTTTCCTTCCAACCGGAAGCCTCAACTCCCGGCCATCTGGAAGGCGGAGGGAAAGCCTTGACTATATCTATGCCTGCCCAATGACAAGGAAAACTGAAGACTACCTTCCAAAATGAATTTGGCGGCTTCCTGCCAAGTTGAACAACTTAGTGGTGTGGATCACAAAATCAAGCTCACTGTAACCTTTTTCTAACCAACTCTTCCCTCAACTTCACCATTTCCATCAATATCATTCTCCAATCACCCAGGCCTGCAGCCTTTCTGATACCTCTGATCAGTCTCGGCCCTTTGTGGCCGATGAAAAGCTAGGGGCCCAAGAGTGGATTATTACTCCTTGATCTTGGAAATTTCCCATCCTTTCCCTTCTAGTCTTGGCACCCACCCTCTCACAAGACCTCAACTGATGCCTCACCTTTATGGCATCCTCCCTAGCTCCAACTCCCCTCTTTCACAGACCCTACATGTACCCTCGGGTTATTACTTATTAAGGGCTGTTTTCAACCAGTCCAGCCTCTGCTCAAATAATAACTTTGTACTTTTTATTTATTTATTTTGCGGTATGCGGGCCTCTCACTGTTGTGGCCTCTCCCGTTGCGGAGCACACGGACACGCAGGCCCAGCGGCCATGGCTCACAGTCCCAGCCTCTCCGCGGCATGTGGGATCTTCCCGGACCGGGGCACGAACCCGTGTCCCCTGCATCGGCAGGCAGACTCTCAACCACTGCGCCACCAGGGAAGCCCAACTTTGCACTTTTTAAACCATCAAGTCTGTACTCCTCTGTTCTCACTAACCCAGGCCCATATTCACTCTTATATTCCAGGAACCCTGACTAATCCTCCTGCCTCAGTTAGGACACTCCTCGCTGTTCCTCTCCTTCCAGGAACACGTACCATTCTCTGACATCCCAAATATCTTGGCAAAGGTCTCACTTCTGCTTATCCAAATCCCACCCACGGGCAGGGGCTCAGGGCCAGCCCAATCCTTCACATAAGCTTTCCCCATTGTCCAGCCCCACCGGCCTCCTTCCCCACAGAGCTGTGTCTAGCCTCATACACGGCCTTCCTCTTGACTCATAAACACTCTCTCCTGCGCTCAAAGTCAGAAGAGATGATGAGGAAGACCAGCTGCTTATTAGCCACGTGATCCTGACCAAACCACCAGACTCTCAGAATCTCACAGAACTGTTATTAGGACAAAGGAGGATTTACAAGAAGGGGACTCGTTCATCTCACATTCAAAATAAGGCCGTCCAGGTAGAGGATTTGGGTATCCCTTCTAATACTGGCCAAGAGCAGTTATTTCGCATCACTCACAACCCTGCAGAGCTAAAGTCTCAGTACACACCAACTAAATGTAAGATAAGGGAGAAAGCACTTTTCATGGGCTACTTTTCTTCACGTCCTCCGTTTAGCCATTCGGGAGCTTCTCTGATACAAATTTTGGGTGACCGCAGAAATGTGTGGGAGGGAAAAGAGAGGCAAATCTGGTGACAACGGCGTTGTTCAAGAGTGGGACTTGAACACTAAGCCAGAGCCGGGATCAGTGGGCAGCAGGGAACAGAAATGGGTAGCAGGGATGCGAGAAGGGTCCACAGCGGGGGGGGGGGGGGGGGGGGGGGGGGGGGGAGCACGCGAACAAAGAATGCTTCGGCCCATCAGCTCGGGCTACCTTCCTTCCCAACGTTCACGCCCATGACAACGGCGGGCACCGCCAGGGACGCGCGGTAAAATCACTTCTCGCCAGAGACCCGGTCACCTCTGATAACGCCGGCCCAGCCCGCCCCGGTGCCGCTGTCCCCGGGCCTTACCAATCGAGATTTCCTGTGCGAAGGCCAGCGAGATGAGCAGCAGCGGCAACCCCACGGCGATGCACGTGACCATCTTGTCCACGGCCAGCTCCAGCCGCAGCCCCTTGAACTTGGGCTCCGAGGGCTCCTTCAGCAAAAAGTCTGAGAAGACGTACTCGGTAGCCAGGTGAGCAATGGCCATGGCTGCGGCGCACGAGCCTGGGCCAGGAAGGCTCGCAAGGGCAGGCCCGGGTACCGCCGGCGTCGGGAGGGCGGCGCGGTGCCTTCACCCGGTTACTGACTGGGCCCGCGGCTTTCGCTTTCCCTTTGCCGGCTCCCCGTTTGCTTCCACATCCCACTGGTCTTTGTGTCTCGAAGCGCCGCAGCTGTCTTCTCTGGGGGCCTGGCCTGGCGGGTCCCGGGATTGCTTCGGGCGCACGGGATCGCGCCTGCTCCTCCGCCGCGGGCCTGGGGCAGAGCCGCACCCGCAGGTCCCCGGGATGCGCGCGCCCGAGGGCGCGAGACTCAACCGCGGAACAAAGCGCTAGCCTCGCCGCGGCTCTGCCGCTGCGCCCTGGCGACTTGGAGTTTCCGGAAGCTGAGGCGACGCGGGGCGGGTGGGCGCGGCAGCATCCCGCGACCCTGGGATCCACCCCCAGCAAAGGGAGCTTCCCGGCGAGCGGTACCTCGTCAAATCCTCGCGCCTCTCCCAACCTCATTCTCCCCACTTCCTGGCACCCGGGATTTTTGAAATCATTTCTGAAAGCGACCTGTTACCCAGTGGACAGGATGGCCCCCTTTTACGCCTCACCCCCAACATTTCTACGTGGCGGAATCAGGTTAAAAGCAGGTGCAAACGCTTCAAAGAGCAACGGGGCCCTAAAGGGCTATCGAGCGCGTTAGACCAAGCCGGTGCGGAAGAGGGAACGCTGGACTCTTCCAGAAGCACTGCGGGACAGGGAGGCGCGGGGTCAGTGGTGGTGAGCCCTGCGTCTGACTAGGTCTCAGGTGTCTGTGCTTAGCCTCCTGCTTTCCCCGTGGGAGCCTCGGTCTGGGAGCCAGCAGTGGGTGTCTGCGGGAAGCGGGTGTTGGGGGAGAGCTACTTCTGAACCACTTTCAGGTAGTGGATGCTGAGAAATAGTCAAGAGACGCTCTATTCAGCAACATTTGGGGGCAGACAGCACCTTTGAACGTGAGCGCTCCCTGGGGCTGGGCTGCCTTTTCTGCTCTTTGTACGTGGGCAGGTCCATGCACACAAGCCTCTTCTTTGTGCCCTCAACTGCCATATGTACATCTCCACCCTGCCCTGCCCTCTGAGCCCTCATCCGATGGCCTGCGCCACTCTCCACTTAGATGACTCACAAGACCAGGACCACACAATGGCCAGGACCGCAATCCTTATGCTCGTCTCAACCTGAACTCCAGTCTTCCCCATCTTGCTCAGTTCACCACCATCCACCGGGACGCCCAAAGCAGAAACCTGGAGTGCCCTGTGTAACACTGCAGTCTCTCCCCAGGTGCCATAACCAGTTTCCAAATCCTGCGGCGTCTCTCTCCTAAATGTAGAAAATCTCATAGTTTTTCTCCACCTGCACTGCCAACGCTCCTTGCCGCCATCCTCTCTCCTAACCGCATACAGGTTATGTACCCTGCAGGCCCGCAAACCATTCTCCCCCATGGCTGCCAGAGGGAGCTTTTAAAAGCTCCCGTCTGATCCTTTCACTCCCCTACTTAAAGTGTACATTGTTTTTAGGATAAAATCCAAATTTCTTACCATGGCCACTGCCTGCCTTATCAACTTCACTACTTTCCAGTCAGTTCTTCAAGTTAGCCAGCCCCGTGCCTCCTCCAGACCTTCCCCTGCCCAAAACGCTTCCACGGTAGCCTCTTTGCCTGGCCAACTCAGATTCACCCTCCTGATCCCTACTGGATGTCACTTCCCAGGAGAATCTTCTCTGATAATGCTAAACTACATTAGGTCCCTTTGTTAAATATTCTTGTAATACTAGCTGCGGGCCTTGGGAAAGTTACTTGCCCTTCCTGTACCTCAGTTTTTTCATCTGTAAAGTGTTTATACTGCTTAGGATCGAGATAAAGATCAAAAGAGTTAATATAGGGCTTCCCTGGTGGCGCAGTGGTTGGGAGTCCACCTGCCAATGCAGGGGACACGGGTTCGTGCCCCGGTCCGGGAAGATCCCACATGCCGCGGAGCGGCTGGGCCCGTGAGCCATGGCCGCTGAACCTGCGCGTCCGGAGCCTGTGCTCCGCAACGGGAGAGGCCACAACAGTGAGAGGCCCGCGTACCGCAAAAAAAAAAAAAAAGAGTTAATATACGTAAAGCGCCTAGGACATTGCCCAGCAATTGATGAGTGCTATGTAAATGTTATCCATTACTGTTGCCCTCTATTTTTCCTTCTTAATGAAAATCACAAGTATAATTCAACAAATATGTGTTTGTCCATTTATTTAACGTTTGTCTCCCCCTTTATATGGTAAGCTTCATGAGGGCAGGCCCACACCTGTGTATACCAACCACTCTCATCTCCAGCGCTTAGCATAAATGCCTGACACATAGTAGGTACTTTAATAAAGGTTTATTAAATGAAGGAAGATGAAAATCTTTCACTTTGAAAATTGTTTAAAAACAGGTGGCCCAACCTACATTCATTTTGCCATACATTCAAGGCATGTATTAGAGGGTAGTGATGGGCCAGGTGTGGGCTCGATGGATGGGGAAGCGAAGATGAAGTGACGCATTCCATTTCCTTAAAGATCTCATGGCTTAGTAAGAGGAATAAGGTACGTGCACAATTAACTATGATACAGGTTAGAAAGTGTAAGTAATATTGAGAAATGTGGGGTAAGCCAAGGAGTGTGCATAAAAAGATGGGGCCTGGTGGGATGCGTCCGTTTGTGGCAGGCAGAGCTGGCACAGGAACCTTCTAGGAAGGAGTGAAAGCATGGATGCCTTGCCCCTTCTCTCGTCAGAATCTACATATCCAACAGGCTCCCATGTCCCTTCTTCCGGATGCCTTCCAGGATCCCCCAGTTGTGATGAATCATTCTCTCCCTTATCCCTTTCTTCTATTCTAGCATTTAGCTCATTTTGCCTTGCGTGATGGTTGATTGCATGTCTGCTTTCTCATTAGGTATCACTTCCTTTGAGGATCTGGATGGAATTCCAACAGTTTTGTCAGTTACCCTCAGCCCTGGCAGAGTTTTTCAAATTTAGCAGGAAGTCAATCCACCTGTGTTGAATTTACAACGGAGGCAAGAAAGAGAACTTTCTTGAGAAATGTAGGGTATGCCAAGGGGTGTGCATAAGAAGATGGGGCCTGGTGGGATGCGTCCGTTTGTGGCAGGCAGAGCTGGCACAGGAAC